TTTCAGATCATGTACATCCACTCTCTTCCTTTCTTCGATTATTTCGTTGCTGAAGCCAGCAAGGTAATTTCGGATTTTTTCACCGTAATTATCGAAAGCAATCTTGAAATCTATCTTTATTTGCGATATAACTTCATCCACATATTGTTTGTTCGCAACATCAGCGGCATCTGTTGGCAGTTTTACGTTACACATCTTCAAATGACCAACATCAATATCACCGGTTGGAGTATGTGAGAATCCAGATCTGACTGTCACCATCTGAGCTGAGTGTGGAAACGAACCACGTCCGAATTTGTCGAGACTCATTATGCTAATGACTCAAGTATTGTACGTTATCGATAATGGTAGGCACTTTGCCTCGCCAATTATTAGCCCCTTCACTCATAGACATGCCATGAAAGTGTCACGGAACTGTCAAGGAAGTGTCACGGAACTGTCACAGAAGTGTCAAGGAAGTGTCACGGAACTGTCACGGAACTTCCACGGAAGTGTCAAGGAAGTGTCACGGAACTGTCACGGAAGTTGTCATGGAAGTGTCACGGAAGTATCACAGAAATGTTACACATGTTTTATTATTCCTGCCTCTTCCAATTCGTTCAAGATGGCAACAATCTCGTTATCGTTTGATGTATTTCCGGCTTGCTGTGATGCAATGAGCAACTTCAATCTATCTACCAATTCGTTTGGATCATCCCAATACATGTACTCGATAGGTGCTGTGTTGTATGTCAACTTCAAACCACGACCACTGGAATTGGATCTGAACATTGGACGAATAATTTCTACGTATTTGAGTCTAGAGGAAGACTTCATACGTCCTGCAGAATTCAGATGAGCTTTGGTGAGCAAGAGTATTTGCTTGTATGGGTTCGTATCATCTTTGGCAAAGGATGGATCATTATAGAAGAGTAATTGATAGAGGCCTGGGGTGCCACGGAACCGAAAGCCATCAAGAAGTATATCTCCAGTTCTTCGATGGAAATTCATTTCTTTTCCGTTGAGAGACCATTTCGATGTTACTGGATCATATTTGGGGCCATAAACCGTATCGGTATTTTCATCATTTGTCCAATATTCAGTCAGATATTTTTGAGCCATCGCAGGATACTGATCAACGTAATCATGTATTGCAGCCGGTGAGATATTTTCACTATCTACAAAAAGTTCATCATCAGCATCGTCATAACCATCCTCGTCATCATCTTCAGTATGCCCAACATTATCAGCCACATCCATCATAGGTATGAAATTAGTTTGGTTCAAATCCGATTGCTCCCTCTCCACCTCCCCATCCTCTTCCTCCTTCTTCTCCTTCTTCAACCCCAACGACTTTGCTCTGCTTCGCTTGGTGTTTGAAAGCGTTCCATCGAGTTTTTCTTCTATGACCTTGGACGCGGAGGCAATTTGTTTCAAAGGTGATGTCAGTGGTTGGAATATTTTCTGTAACGCATCATCATCCTCAGACTTGCCCAATTTTAGTGCTAAATATTTTCTTCTGATTGATTTCGATAGTTCGTTGATTTTTTTCTTGCGCAGCGCATCAGCAACATCATCATGCATCTTGGTTGACGTCATCTTGATGAATGGTCCAGAGATCACAGTCTTATGAACTTATCGAAACCATTTCTATATCTGCCAGCATTCATATCGAAAGTTTTTGCAATCACCATCGCACCATATTGGTTGGAATTCCAGCACTCTGAGCACAATGCTTTAAATTGATCGAATGACATGTCTGGTGAGACATGCTCGTCGAACACATGCTTCAAATTCATTTCATCCTGTCGAAATAACACCAACAGGTTACTGTTGTCTCGCACCAGCTGCTTCGGTATCTTAGAAAAAGTCTGGCATAGGTATGCTACGTCAATATCCTTGTGTCTACACATTGAAAAATATTCTCGAATTTTTTGCTGCTTGTCGCATGATACATCATCAAAAATGAATATCGAATTATTTTTCGCTTCTGATGGACTGATGACATCATCATTTTCTTTAAAGGGAAAATACCCAACACCTTTCACTGAATCCAACACTTGTTGCAGCAATTGATATTTCGGTTGGTACAACGACTTTGAATACACGTAAACGTTCTAGAATTTCGCGCCATTTGGATTGAACAGCAGGGAAAGCATCGCATTGGTCTTTCCACATCCGCTTGGTCCGCAGAAGATTGCTCTGAACGAATGGGGAAGCAGTTTCCCATGTTTACTATTTACTAGGGGTTTGGTTGACAAAATTTCATCCAAATTCACAATGGGTAACATCCGTTCTTGTTGAATGATCTTCATCATGTGATGATATATTTTTCATTTCATTAGGTATATGCAGAGTTGTCGAACTTCCTACACATCAGTCTTCATGTTGCTCTACCATGGAGAGGGTGTGCTTAATTCTCTGATCGATAAACTTTCCATCGAATTACACATTCCAGGCTACAGATTTTGTGGTCCAGGTACCAAACTCGATAAAAGACTTGCAAGAGGAGACACCGGTATCAATCCGTTGGACGACGCGTGTCGAGTACACGATATCGCCTATTCACAAAATTCCTCAATAGAAGACAGGCACAAAGCTGATTGGATATTGGAAAATCGAGCGTGGGAGAGAGTCAAGTCGAAGAACGCTAAGTTCAAAGAGAAGGCTGCTGCTTGGCTTGTCACCACCGGAATGAAGGTCAAACGAAAACTCGGCATGGGTCTTGTATCACAGCAATCCCTATCCAACTTTATCAAATTCATAAAAAATGTACTATCAAAGTCAGATGGTGGTGGTGGTGGTGGTGGTGGTAGTACAACATCAGGAAGTGGTCTGAATAAATCTGCATTGAAAGCACTCCGTGCAGCCAGAATGGCAATCAAGAGGGCTGGCGGTAAAAAAAGAATCAGAGTACCAAGAATCATACCTCTTCCACACAGTGGCGGTATACTACCATTGATACCAATCTTTGCCGCCTTGGGAGCCCTAGGATCTCTAGCTGGAGGAGCCGGAGCAGTCGCAAAGACAGTCATTGATGCGAAAAATGCAAAGAAAAAGCTCGAAGAAGATCAAAGACATAATAAAGCAATGGAGGCTATCGGCAAGCAGGGTTCCGGCCTATTTCTACGCAAAACATCGAGAGGATTCGGACTGTACTCGAAGAAACAATCAAAAAACTCAAAAAACTTCTAGACAAGCTACCCAATAAATCAATGTACGATAAAGATGTGATAAAGTATGCCAAACAGCTGAAAATACCGTATTTTCGAGGTGTTTTTATGCGGGACACTCTACCTTCTACCGGTCCATGGCATCGCGAGTGTGCTGTATTGAATTTGGATACCTCCAATCATGCGGGCACTCATTGGGTGGCTTACATAAAAAATGATAAAAAAGCCTTTTATTTTGATAGTTATGGCAATCTGAAACCGCCCAGAGAATTGGCGCAATATTTGGGTGCCAGCACGAAAATCTTGTACAATAACAATCAATACCAAAATTTCAATCAAAGTAATTGTGGACGTCTATGTTTAGAATTCCTTTTTAATGAGACCAAGTAACTCGGTCATTGTGCATCAGTCATGTCTCTGATAGTGACGTTGAAAGGTCGTACATCTACGCTCTCCATAGACTTTTTGACACCACTTCAACTCGATCCAGACTCTGATTACGGACTAGCATTATTGGGATTCCATTCATACAACAGTATACCAAATATCGACAAAGGATCAAAGTTTTATCTGCAAGATAAGACCAAGGCGGGAAAGATCATCGATATTCCCGAAGGTTCATACGACATTGTGGACATTGAGACATTCATACGCAAAGAATTGGGCATCTCAAGTGCAAAGGACGTTGATGATATATTCTCGTTGAAGCCCAACAATAATACACTAAAGTGTGAGATTTCGAGCAAACAGTTTGCCATTGATTTTCGCCCGAAGGATAGCATAGCTCAAGTCTTGGGATTTTCAAATAGATTGTTGAACGCACAACAAGTCCACACTTCCGATTTGCCGGTCAGCATAACCAAAGTGAGAACCATTCACATTGATAGCAACGTTACTGCTGGAGCTCTCTACAACGACAGACCATCACATACGATCTACGAGTTTGCAGTTGCAGTCGATCCTGGTTACGCCATAGACGAGACTCCCAGAAATCTAATCTATCTACCTATAGTCAGCAGGCGGGAATTGCCCAACATTACACTCCAGATTCTAGACCAAGATTTCAGGCAGGTGAATTTTAGAGGTGAAGAAATCATCATAAGATTGGAATTGAAGAAACTCGCAAGATGGTACTAGTGTTTGATTACTCCTATAAATCAGATAATATACCATCATCAGCAACATCATCAGCACCAGTTCTCTCGACACCGTACACCAAAGCAGTCGTGTCTTCGAAGAGCAGCAGCAGCAGCAACAGAAAAACATTGACATTATCCAGTGTCCTGTTTCTGAAATCACTCAAAGACTACAATGTTGTTAGCACCCGTGTTCGACGTTTTCCGCAATCCCAGATTCGACGAAAGCATCACTAAAGTGGAATGGCGTACCTATTATCCATATGTGAAATCATTCGAGAACAATGATGTCATCGATATAACGGTTAATCAAGCAGATTCGTGGTTGGCCATGTTTGAAGGCATCATTACCATCAAGGGTAAATTGAAGGTGACCGGTGGTGGTACTGGTACATTAACCCACAATGCTGGAGCTTATCTCTTTGATTTTTGCACCTATGAATTATGTAATAAAGAATTGGACACTGTCAGATATCCTGGAATAACGAGTACTGTGCGAGGATACTTGTGTTATACGCCTGAAGACTCACGTCATCTAGCCATAGCAGGCTGGAACTATCCCAATGCTCCGATCCTCAACACCGATGGTACGTTTAGCATGAACATTCCACTGAAACATTTGTTTTCCATCTTCAATGATCATCAAGTGGCAACGTGGGGCAAGCAGTCAATCCGTTTAGTGAGAGCTCGCAATGATGCCAACAGTGTGAAGGTTGTCGAGAGAGCGAATACTGCTTTGCCAGGATCTCCTCAGACTCAAAGTATTGCTAAAATAACGATAGAAAGCATCAATTTGAAAGTGCCACATCTCACACCCAACGATGACATAAAGTTGCAGTTGTTGACACGTATCAAAGCAGATGAGCCTATGATGATACCGTTTCGCCGATGGGAATTGCACGAGCTACCAGCACTCACACAAGGATCTACCATAGAAATCTGGTCCGTCAAGACATGTTCTGCATTGGACAGTCCAAGATATGTTATAGTATTTTTCCAAACGAAAAAAGCCGATAATTTGCATGAAGACGTCACCTTGTTCGATAATGCCAACATCAAATCCATACGATTGGCTCTGAATAGCGACTATTATCCGCAAGAACGAATGCTATTGGACTTTTCCCGAGACCAATATGCTGACGCTCACTTCAACTATACAGAGTTCAACAAGAGCTACCATAACTGTCAAGAAAAGCGCTCTCTAGTAAACTTTGCCGAATTCAAATCCCGACCAATGTTTGTTATCGATTGCTCGAGGCGCCATCTAGGCATGAAGTCGTCTACAGTTGACATAAAGTTGGACATTGAAGCGACTACAGGCTTCCCTCCCGACACCAAAGCCTATTGCATCATCATTCACGATCAAATCATGGAACATCTCCCACTCAGCGAAATTGTTCGAAATATTGCCTAGTTAGGTGTTGCTGCATCAGTCAGACGTCAGTTTGCTTCGAAGAGTCATGGAGATCGCACTGGTTGACATTCATGGGTTCATGGTTGATGGTGAATTCATTCCAAAGGAAATGACCATTCGCATTGGCAAAAAGACGAGTCATTTTCTATTCAAGCCATCTGTAGAATTTTCGAGTTTAAGCAGAGAAGATAAAAAGATGGCAAATCATGTGGAGCGTTACGTTCATGGTTTAAAATATTCCAGTGGTTATGTGGATTTGAATGAGTTGGATCGAATACTACGAGATAACCTGCAGCAGACAAACATCATCTACGTAAGAGGCCATCAAAAGATTCAGTTTTTACAGCGAAAATGTGCAGAGTTGGAGATGACCAATCACATTGTTAATTTGGAAGATTTTGACAATTCTTGGTGGCAGCCAATAACGTTCCTACAATCCATTCCACCTTGCATGCATCATTTCCATGGAGGAAGGTTCCAGTGCAGTCTCCACAATGTCGATACTTTATATAATTGGTTATGTAATTTATTGCCAAAATAGAAAACTTTATAATAATTTCAGAGTTTTTATTCATCACATCCCTTATTTCTCATTATAATGAAAATAACATGTGAGATTAAAATGAGTGAACATATTAGTGTACAACAAAGTGTCAAAATTGCAATGATATTGACCGAATCTTGATCATCATCTAATTTTGCGGGTGATTTCTTCAATGTAAATGTCTGCCAGTCCCCAGTTTCGCCGTCACTGCCATCAGAAAACGATAATTTCAATTTGTAGTCGATGGTGGTCCCATTGACTCGAGGCATGTCGATTGAATATACAGGTAGTATGTTATCGTTGACATACATTCTACTCATCAGCTTCCAATCACACTGTTGTGTACGATTCACATCAAAACATACAGCTGCATTCCTCGTATTGTACGGTATGTTTGTGTAGAAGACGTTGTTGCTCAGAGCTGTCAATAGAATGAAGCTTGCTTTCAGTATCGCCATCTAGTAGCTGTGTTGGTTGGATTTATCTCGATGTAGGAAACGTTACAACTGAACGTCTCGGTTCTGTGAACACCTTGTCCCAAACACTCAATTGCTCGAAATCTTTGAACAAACAAACTTTCTGCTCATACAATTGGACGTCTGCACTGAGCTTTCTAACTTTCAACCCAAACTCTTCTAGTGCACGTCTGTATTCGTCAGAAGACATGATACAACTGTTTTTTACATCCATACCTTCAACTAATATCCATCCAATCTCTCTCTCTCTCTCTCTCTTCTTCTCACTTTCTTACCTTCTCACTCTCTCTTACACTCACTACCCATCCCAATGATACACAGAAAATTTCAGAGATTTCGCATTTGGAGATCTTGGAAACACTTCCTATGATGAACTTAGTCGTTTTGTTCAGATGTTTTCTAAGAATTAGTGAGTGTGGCATCGCTCACCATGCGCATGCCCTAATAACACAATTACATCAGTAAGACGTCGTAGAACCATCCATATGGGATGATAGGAACAACTCTGGAAAATCCCTATTTTCCTTGGGACATTCTTGTCAGCATTTGCGATGTCTTATAAACATCCCATCAGAATGTTTGTGGGATGATACGGGATGTACCAGAGACATTCATGGTACTTGATATGGAACATCTTGAAGAAACTTTTAGGATGTTTTTTATTTGATGACAGTGATGGATGACACGGTATGAATTATTTTCATTCTGAAATCCTGAGAATGACCGACCTATTTGCAGATATAAGGTAACAATCCGAATCCGAAAATATATAAGTTCGGTGCAGTGCAATAACCAATGGAAGATGATAACAGTTGTTTGAGGCTCATATTTATTTGTTGGCGCTCGGCCGACGGCTGTTAGTAACTCTTAGCAACGTAGTTGTACCGTCATCTATCGGCTGGTATAACAAATAAATTCAGCAATGAATATGCTGAAGAGATATATTTAAATTTTGTCGTTTATTACATGGTTCATGAAGTTAAGCAGGTTCTTTGGTAATCTTATTGAGGAATATTTAGTATAATCATTCCAATTTGTTATCGATGAAATTAGCCGCCGGCTTTGGTATAGGAATAAGTACGAATACAGTTTTGATTGAATTTTAGGTGTTTTTTCCTAGGAGAACACCCTATTCAATTATCAGCCCAATGTATTCTAGTTAGGTATGATATAAATTGATTTTTCTACAAAAATTGCCACATAAACATACACCATGTACCAATACCGAATTTCATGAAATGACAGACTATTAGTTGTGAGAAAATCAGCAAGCTGAAGAGTTTTGCTGTAGTCATAGAAAACGCGTAGTATATAACTCACACAGAATGCTCGTATGATTTAACTTATGCAGCATACTTGAGTGCTTTCATTCACTCTGCACGATAAAAGACAAGTGTCCGACTACTGGCAAAGAAGAACACAACTTGTTGCTTCTTTTTGGCTTATTGATAATATGATCTATTGAGCATTTCTTTCATGCATCACATACTATGATTCTTTTGTAAAACTCAGTCCACTGTCCGACTATACTGACTGATTCACCCTATACATTGAGAGGCTTATCTTCATGTGTGCATATTATATTCAAAAGCATTGTTATGCATTTTATCTGCCACTGAATCCGCCGAATATTTCAAAATCTGATACTCTTACAATAGATGAGCTATAGACAACAATTAACGAGTTGGTATAAAAGACATACACGGGTTCTCTTATCGTCTTTTCACGAAATCAACGAACTACCGAAATCAAACAGCTGTTCAAGTTGGAGCGTTCAAACAGGATGCCGTTATCTTGGTTGTTCTATATTTGGCGTATACAAAAAATCATATTCCTTCAAAGCCTAGAAAGATGATTAAATCAGCTGAGTTATAGACTAAAATTAACGGATAATAAAGGAAATAATCCTATTATTATTGCCCAGATAGCACAAATTCCTTTTGAGGCCCTTCTGAGGCGTTCACAACCATGTCCTCAGGACGTCGAGAGCGAGCCTGAGGACATTCTCAAGACGTCCTCCTGTTACCATTCTCTACATACTAATAACGTCTCAGAACATCCCTATAAAATCTTTTGAGACAACCTCAGGACATCATGGTAACAACTTGAGGCGGTTTTTGATGATGTTTCAAGGAGGTTCAAGATTTATGGGAGAATATTATTCGTATACAGAATGAGTCACTATAGTGTGTTCTCCTCCGATATTGGCCAAACCGTCAGATATATAAAATGAAAATTCAAGTACAACAGTAATAGGGTTTCATAAGAACAATCACCTAAAGTTGTTTTCATATCTATAGGGTGTTCGAATTCCAAGATATCGGTTGATGATTGGTTTTTTTCAATGGAACACCTTGTATATTATTGCATTTTTCAGTTTTCCCTGAAGAGTTGATTCCATCAATGCATCACACTTGGTGTCTAGTGGGAATTATTACAAAGATATAGGGTGTTGACAATTGAGATTCTTCGAATGTAGGATTTTTTGTGTCGAAACTATTCATTAATGGTCAAAACGGCTCACATGTTCCTGTCATAAATTTTGATTAGCTATCTACTGATATTTATTTGGAACAGATACAATAAGCTGATCAGTATTCTGAATGTTAACCCACCCTCTATTTGTTCCGATGGAATGTCAGTAGATAGTAAATCGAAAGTTTATAAGGATATGTGAGCCGTTCTGACCAATATTGAATAGTTTCCACAAAAAAAATCCTAAAATTGAAAAATCTTGTTTTTGAACACCCTATATCTCTGTAATCATTCCCGCTAGACCCCAAGTGTGGGGGGGTGTGGATTGATGGAATCAGCTCTTCAGGGAGAACCTAAAAATGCAATAGTATACAGGGTGTCCCATTTGGAAAAAAACAATCATCAGTCAATATATCTTGGAATTCGAACACCCTACAGATATATATGAAAACATTTCAATGTGAGAGTTCTCATGAAACCCTATTACTGTTGTACTTGAATTTTCTCTATTTATCTGATGGTTTGGCTAATATACAAGGATAACACACTATTGCATGACTCACCACGTATTATGCAAATGATAATTTCTTCAGAATAATATTTTATAGATTCCAAAGAAGCAAAGCTATCTTGGAATAAAACATGTTTGCTATGATGATATCGATATCATCAAGTTTGTGTTCTCAATAACCTCCTGAAACAATAAATAATGTATATGAATGTATCAATATTTCCTGTCCGGTACTATCAATGATTCTATTTAGTATTTACTCACCATTGTTTCTTGCTACCTGAGAGAAATGTCATCAACAGAGATTATCATCCTTTTGTTATTTTTATCTTTTAATTCTGTGCAATCAATTTGTGAAATAGAAATTTGATGAAGGTATTCGATGAATACTCTAATAATTTTGATATAATCATTAATATAATAATTTTATGATGTATCTTGAACAAATCATGACTATCATGAGACATAACCTCAATTCTAGTTCTTCTTTTTCTTCCTTTTGTCTTCGATGACACGTTATATCATGGAATGTAATCTGAAGACGTCCGTAGGCACGAAATTCTGTACATCCTCAGGCTGTCACTGAAAGAACTCATTTAGGACAATTACAGCGCTAAATTTACGCCTGATGATGTTCTTAGGTTGTAGAAAATAGAACGTCCTCTCCAGGCGTTTGGCGACACATTGAGGATGACCTTAGGCGAGTGTGTGCTATCTGGGTGATTCTCTTATCGTTCCATATGAGATACAAGGAACTATCGAAATCACACAAAAAACAGCTGTTCAAGCTGAAACAAGAGCTGTTTTCAGTCCTAGACCTGATATTCAATATCCCACACTGAAAAATATTTCTGCTATACAGGGCGGGTCAGCAAG